CGTCAAAGAAAGAACGGACAAACAAGATAAAAAAAAAATAAAAAAAAGTAACACATGAAATTTGAAACAACAACAAAAAGATGATCATATGAAGAGAGAGAGAGAAAAAAAAAGACAAAGAGTGGGAATGTAAAGGCTGTCTTTATTTACTTTTCTGTATCTTCAATAGAATCAATAATAAATAATGTCTGAGGATAACTCATTTAGTCAAGATAAAGAGAAAACAGAAGAATAACAAACAAAACAAAAACACAGAAACATATAAAACTACATACATGTCAGAAAAAAACAAGAAAACTCGATTACAACAAATTGGGCAAAATAACAGCAAAGAGGAAGAAAATAAAGAAAAAGTGGAAGAAGAAAACAACGAAAGAGAAGACAAGATAATTAGATTATAGATTTTTTTCCTGACATTAATTAATTTTATTTCCTAGACAAATCCTTATAATGAAGGGCCTCTTAATTAGAGTCCAAGTTTGTGGCTTCATTTGAATAATTAATTTCCGGAATTAAGGATTGGCGTTTTCTTTTCCTGAGAAATACACGAATCGAAATAAAATAGATAAACAGAAATAATTTCTTAAGGGAAAGAAAAAAAAAATTAACGAAACACAAGCAAACGAATACACAGAGATAGTCTTACGCTTATATACATGCATACGGACACGAAAGCACAAGCACGCTACGCATGCACACACAAACATACATGTGTGTCTGTGTATAAATGGGAATATATATATATATATATATATATTATATAATATATATATATATAATATATATATATACATATATATATATATATTATATATATATATATATATATATATACATTTATATTATTATATATATATATATTATATAATATATATATATATATATGTGTGTGGTGTGTGTGTGTGTGTGTGGTGTGTGTGTGTGTGGTGTGTGTGTGTGTGTGAGTGTTGTTGTGTTGTGTGTGTGTATATATATATATATATATATATATATATATATATATATATATATATATATATATATACATATATTATATACACACATATATATATCTATATACATGTATATCTATATCTATCTATCTATCTATCTATCTATCTATTATATATATATATATATATATATATATATATATATATATATATATATGTATGTATATATATTTATATTTATATAATATATATGTTGAATAAGACCTTTTTACCTGATCATCGGAGTTAAGGGGCCGTTTCTGCGCATCACAGAAAAGAAGAAAGGAGGGAGCAAAGAGGAATTTTTCGGGCCCTCAGTTGTATCACGTATCGGTATAAAATGTGATAACCTTCTCTATGCAACACTGGTAGGGCAGGATGTACACTACTATACGGCATTACTCTTTCTTGATGAGAGTCACGCGCAAGTAGAATGGACCTCGATATGAGACTGGTCGGTGCGGGTGCTGGTGGCCTGCTAGCCTGTTCCGGTGAAGGCGCTGCTGGTGGCGATGGAGAGCGCGGGGGGGGGGGGGGTGCGGGCGGTACGAGGAGCGGGCTCTCTCAGGTCAACCGGGGTCACCCTTAACGGAGCAGCAGGGAATGGGAGGTCAGAGAGATGGGAGGATGGGAGCGTGGCCTATTCTTAGAATCACCTGTGCAGGGTGGAACAGCTAGCAAAAATTAAGGTGCAATATGTTTTTATGAAAAATGCTTGATGCAATGTTTTTATCAGAAATGCTTGATGCAATATGTTTTTATCAGAAATGCTTGATGCAATATGTTTTGCAGTTTCTTAAAATCAGAAACATATAAATCCCTGTCTTACTAGTTCTTCAGCAATAATTTTTTGCTCAATGTTTTTCTTAAAGTGTACATGTTCAATCAAAATCACTTTTTACTGTGGTATCCCTCTATAATACCAAGCGTTTTCTGTAATTGCTGCGAAATACGTGCAGGAGCAAGATGGACAACTTTTTAATTATTGTGTTTATCAATAACATATGATATACTCATCATAATCTTCCCCTTTTGCCATCATTATTATTCTTACTATCATCATTTTTGCTACTGCAAACATCAAAATTCCAATGTAATGTTAGTAATAATGCTTATAGTACATGTGATCATAGGTAGACTATTAAAAAAAATGATTCAAATCATTTATAGCCGCATTTTTAGAATTTGAAAACCGGTGGACTTTCTGCAAGTGCTGTTGTTTCTTCATCGGCAATGGCCTAAGCTTTTCTGGAGGCTCAAGTAAATACGGAGACAACCAATTACTTCGGCGTCACCTTCACAGTACAGCAATGCCAACGTTTGGTCCGTCACCCACGTATTACGAAACGAAGGAAAACGTTTTGGGCGCTTGAGGACGCTACTGCCTTCCGAAGTTTCCGGTTCATAAACATTTGGGTCGAAATGGAATCTAACTTTTCTCGTCTCTGCCACCAAACGCCTGAGGGAAACCTTCGGGAAGCCGAGTCACCGGGTTCCTTTATCTCGAGCCACGACCCTGCCGGAAACCG